CGAGAAGCCTCTGACTATCTACTGCTGAGGCTCGCTTAGCTTGAGTGGAGTCGCCACAACAGTAATACCCTCGCCTCGCATCCTCATGGCCTCGCCATATCTTGGAGATTTCGAAATTTCGGCCCAAACGGAAGCCACAAAGGGTACACGTGTGCACACAAAAGGAAGATTAATCATTGAATGTCGAGTATTTGAATAGCGTTTTGCGTAAACTAATTCATGCTTGATCGGTCAAGTGCGTGCGTGCGTGTGTGTGTGTGTGTACACACACACATTTATTTCTTTCTTTATTTATTTTTTCCGGAATTTTCAGAAAAGTCCACTTTCATCTCTGAGGGTTTAATCATTGGCAAGCCATGAGAACGGGGCACGAACACGGACATGAAACATACAAATACAAATGGCATTACAAAACAATAAATGAAAGACAAATGTTATGAAGACAATTGATTCAACAATAAGGCACACAAACCTCGTGGGCTCACATCCACAAGAGACTAAATATCCTTTGCTTGTGCCCTTCCATCATTTAGCAGTACAGTGGTACCTCTACTTACGAACGTCTCTTCATACGATAGTTTCAAGTTACAAAACGCCTCAATGGGAAAATATTGCCTCTTGTTAACGAAAGAAATTTCAAGATACGAAAGGTAAAAATACAGATGGGCTGCTACTCGTGCTCAGAGTTTCCTGAACGCAACATACATATAGCTGCTCTGCCATTGGTTATTACATAGCATCATCCTGGCATCCCATTGGCTAAGAGGGACCTCTACCATGTGAGTCTATGTGTGTAGATAGAGAGAGATGTGTCCAAGCAGCGTCCTCGCCATTCACCCCTCGGGCCATGAGGTGTTCCAGTAGTTTTACGTACATGTGAATCATCCAGAAAAGTGATCACCAGTCGGACTGGAGTTCTTGATAAAACGCAGGCAAAAACCACTTCTGAGAGAGAACATGAACTAAAGAGGGCAAAAAAACGATGAGGATGCAGTTAAAAATTAAATGGCCATATTTATTCTTCAGTCTATTCTTTGTTATGCACAACTCTCATTGATTGTGCAATAATCTAATTGTAATATGTACCGGTATTTGTGACAGATTTTGATTTATTTTTATCCTTTATAAAACATTTATGTCCGAATTTTGGCAGGCTTGGAACGGATTAGGGCATTTACATGGAAAACGCATCTCTAGTTATAACATTTTCTAGTTAAGAAATTTCTTCCAAAACAAATTAATTTCATATGTAGAGGTACCACTGTAGTTAACTATGCTTTTGGGTTTTATCTTTGTTTCATAATGGCTGCGCACAGCTCACAAAGTAGTTGAGTATGTGTTGGCGAATGCACATGTCAATCAGTGTCGGGCGGAACCCTTTTACGTGACAATTGGTTCCTGCTAATACGTGCAGAGGTCCAGGGTCCGATTCTGGCTACAGCCTTCCTGTGTGGAGTCTGCATGTTCTCCCCGGGCCTGCGTGGGTTTTCTCCACACACTTCGGTTTCCTCCCACATTCCAAAAACAAGCATGGCAGGTTAATGGAACGCTCCAAATTGTCCCGAGGTGTGAGTGTGAGCGTGGATGTTTGTTCGTCTCTGTGTGTCCTGCGATTGGCTGGCAACTGGTTCAGGGTGTCCCCCGCCTACTGCCCAAAGACAGCTGGGATGGGCTCCAGTAACCCCCGTGACCCTTGTTAGGATACAGCGGATTGGAAAATGGATCGATGGATGGATATAATTTACAACTACAATTAAACAAAGACAAACAAAATACTTTGTTCAGATACCCTGCAGTTTTGGTGTCACTGGGCTTTCCACGCATGCCACATGTTAAATCTGTCTGCTGGCACATCAAGTGGCCAGTAACAAATTACAAAAGACATATTTTAAAAAAAATCCCAATGTTATTTTGAAAGTAGTCTTAAAGTTAATTAAGCATTTGTTTTATTCTTTCACAATAGTGTGTTTTCACATGTTTCTGTATTGCATTATGTTTATTTTTAAACACACTGGTTGAAAACAGTAATTATAAATTTAGGGGCTGGAACGGACATTACATTTCCATTGATTTTGATGGTCAATATTACCTAAATTTATGAATGTTTCAGGTTACAAACAGGCTCACGGAACAAGTTACGTTTGTAACTTGATGTGCCACTGTACTTTGAAACCCTCTGTTCAAAGCAAGACCCTATGCAGCTTCACCATTTTTTGTGAGCATTGCTTGTAAGTAGGTATAGGTGTGTTAAAAGAACTTTTAGATTAATCATTGAATGACCATCCCTTGTTTGAAAAATTTTCTCCTTGGAAATCTGATGGTCACATTAGGTTTCTGTCACAACATTAAATAGAATAGGGATAGCCAATCTTCAGAACAATTTTGTGACTGGTTTTATATTTGTGATGTGATGTATTGATTGAAATATTTGTTACACACATGTTCATGCCATAATATCTTATGCTCTGCAGATTTTTGTTGAGGCCAAGCGCACCTCTCCCAGTGTCCTATACATCCCCCACATTGGACAGTGGTGGGAGACAGTAGGTCCTGCATTAAAAGCCACTTTTCTCAGCCTACTTGGCTCCCTCCCTGCCTTCGCTCCTATCCTGCTACTGGCTACCTGCAGTCTACAGTACTCTGAACTCAATTTTGAGGTATGAAGAAAGTGAAACCATGTTTAGGCAGGTCACCAAAAATAAGCCACTTGAAGAGCTCCTCTGCGCATGCGTGAGAATTGACAAAAATGGCTTCCAAACAACAGCTGTTTTGTATGAACATCGTTGTATGCCTAACTTGTGTGCTTTGAAGGTTGCGGGCAGCCATTTTAAAAGGCTTTGAGCCTTATGTGACAAAACGACAGGTGTACCTTGTGCTGTTTAACTGTTCTAATGGAATCTAGAGGCTTGAACATTGGTGTAAAAACACCATTGCAAAGTATCAATTGGTCACAATTTCTACACAGATGGGCAAAAAAGATGGACTAAAATTGTTAATTAAAAAAAAAAAAAGCTACCTTCATTTTGTCAATATCTTGAACCCAACAAGGACCACACAGGCGGTAAGCAAACTAATGAGACACAAAATGCGATCAGCCTGACGGAAATAAACTTTCTTGTCACTGTCACTTGAAATTGAGAAATGATTCACGTTTCAAGATTGTGGCATGCCACATTGCTGATGATTTGCTGAGTGTTACTCAGATCACTTCACATGTGAGGAAAACAACACATTTGTTCAGCCGATTTGTGTTTTGCTGGCAGTGTTGGGCTGAGCAAATAACCACAAATGTCCTTCTGTACAAGCGTTGCACACATCTACCAAAATATCAATAAAACTTAATCTTTACTGTCATTTCCCAGTAGAAGGTGGTCTGTGTAAGGAGAATCAAGTAATATCAATGAAAAAAAATTACAGCTTTGTACACTGCTTCACAATAGTTCTAAAGGAGAAGTTGGTAGGCAGGGAGACGTCCCTCACACAAAATGTACCCGCGTGACTCGGAGATCTGCAAGTGGTCTATTTCCTAAAATGAAGAGAAAATAACTGTTTTGTCTTGAAGAAAGTTCCTTCACCTCACACTGTTTTCTCTGCAGGTTCAGGAGTTGTTTAAGATGGGCTATGGGGAGGTTTACCATGTCCAAGCCCCCAGCAGCCGAGAGAGGAGAAATTTCTTTGAGGACCTGATACTAAATCAGGCTGCCAAAGCTCCTGCCTCTAAAAAGAAATCCAGTGAGACAAACTCGGAGCATTTTTTTTTTTTTTTTTGTGGAGAACATTGTTGAATTTTACATTGAAAGCAAACTCTTGACTTTCCCCAAAAGCACCCCACTCCTTGGAGGTGCTTCCTATTGCTCCTCCTCCGCCGCCACGTCAGCTGGCCGAGCAGGAGGCCCGGAAACTGGCGGTACAAGAGGAAGACACCCTCAGAGAGCTCCGCCTCTTCTTGCGGGATGTCACAAACCGCCTGTCCCAGGATAAACGCTTCAAGGCTTTTACAAAGCCTGTGGATTTGGAAGAGGTGGTTATTCCTCTGTTATTCGTTAATTGTTCATCTGCGTGAAAGCCAAACACCCAAATTATTTGACATTAACAATTATGTTGAAAGGTTTCAATTTCAGTGTTATTTTGGTTTCCCCACTGGGGGGCGCCAAAGTAAGCGTTTAACGGTATCGAATATGCGTATTAAGGCTTGCGCTGTTTGTACTCTCCTCTCACTGTACCTAGGTTCCAGATTATGCTGCTGTAATACAGAAGCCTATGGATCTGTCAACTGTGCTTTCAAATATTGACCTTCATCAGTATGTAACGGTCAAAGACTTTCTTCAAGATGTAGATCTCATTTGGCAGAATGCACTTGAATACAACCCAGACAGGGACCCCTCAGGTACACATTGTGGATTTAGACTAAAGGACTGATTAGATGGCACAAATTCCTTTTGTTTACTAACTTTTTCTTCTTCCAGACCGCCAGATTCGTCATAGGGCCTGTGCACTTAAAGACACTGTGCATGCCATCGTTCGACATGAATTGGATGAAAATTTTGAGAAGCTGTGTGATGAAATCAAAGATTCGCGCATCAATAGAGGTGTGTGTGCGCATGTGTGAGTGAGAGATACCTTGTTCCAAGCAACTAGATTGACCCAAATTTGTTTATCCCAGTTTAAGAAGTGACATTATTTAGTGACGTACGATATTCATTAGCGAATGAAGGTGTTTTCTAATTTGTTTTCACCTTAAACTTGTGTTTGTCCACAGGTTGCTCCACTGCACAGTACGCGCCCTCCTTATACCATGTCGTCCCCAAACAGGCCAAAATTCTGACTGAGCCTAATAAGATGGCTGAGAAGACTCCACAAAGAGAGCTGGTCAAAGCCCCAACTGTGTTCACTCCGAGTACATCTTCCTCTACATATCTTACACCTAAAAGCACAGGTAGGTATTTTTGAAAATTAATAACATTAAATCGCAACAATTAGTCCCTAACAAATCCCTGTTTTCATCCTCCAGTGCAGAGGAAGAAACGTCGGAAGAGTCGATGGTCCTCTGGCTTCTTTTCAAAGAAGGTGTCATCGTCTCCTCACGTCTCCAAAGAGGATATGCACTTAGGCACGGATAATGACGATGACGATGCAGATGAAGAAACTGAGATAGAGAAAGGAATCTTCACGGAGCTCGATGATGAAGATGACAAAGAGGTTCAAGTGGTGGTTAAAGCTACTTTGAAGGATGGTATTCAGCGTGATAGAGAAAAAAGGAGTGCTGAGGACCAGACACAAAACAAAATCGCAAACAAAGATCAGTCAGCTTTAGAAGTTACAGCACAGAACCCAGCGGGGCACACCTCAACGAGCATTGGAGAACATAACCAGGGAGAGCTGGACAGAGGTTGTGGTCAAACACGCAACCAAAATGTAACACGGGAAAGCAACAGCAAGACGGCAGCACAGGAGCCAGAACCAATGGAAGTGGTTATCATAGACAATGCCATCATAGAGCACTCAGGAGACCTCAGAGGAGACAAGGACTCAGGTTTGGGTTTGCCGCTGTGGTTCTCAGAAAATAGGGGCGACTTCATTGCCTCATTGTGTCCCTTCACTCCAAGCTACATTCATGTTTTTCCATGTGGTTCTGTGTTTTATGTCACAGAGAAAAGCGTAAGGCACATGACCCGCCCCTCAAAGAACACTGTTCACCAGCAGCAGTTTGATATAGAAAAACCTCTCCAAATTGTTGACCTGGAAGAACCTTCACTGGTAGTGGACAGGGACAAATTAAAGGTGGGGTGCTGATTACTGCTCATGACACTTGTGTGCTATGCCATGACTGAGATGAACTAGGATAACCTTTATTAGTCCCACAGTTGGTAAATTTGCAATGTTGCCTCTATCATTTTGATTTTATTTTTATCAAGGAGCTATTGGACAAAATTGTGACTAAGACTGATGGCTATGAGGTGCACAAGTTGGAGAAACTCTACGCTCTCCTCTGCCAAAGCGTCTACAGACACAGAAGAGCCCATCATAAAGATGCATTAATCAGGGTTGGTATTGCATTTAGTAATGCATGATTTATGACAATAGTCAAGGATAAAAGTAATTACATCTAGAACCATGAATGTTTTCAGTGTTCAGTAATTGTGTTGTGGTTATTACTAATTCCTCTTTCGATATTTTCTTTCAATAGGAGTTGGAGCAAGAGGTCACTGATTTCTGTTGACAGCGCTAAAGGAATGATGTGACATTTTGAGGTTTTAACATAATGCACATAATGCTTAAAGGAGCATGGTTAGCACCCTCAGCTGCGAAAATTACAATCAGTGGTTTTGTCCTAACACTTTTGTGTCGTAAAATGAATCTTTGTATTATCTCTTGATTATATTTAAATAAATTGCTTCCTCTTTATTAATAAACTGTATCGTTTTTCACATACAACTTGGCGCAATTGAACTATTCCAATTGATTGTGGAAACGTAGGTTTTTTTTTGGGGGGGGTTGCTTTTGCTCTTGAATACATGATTCAATGTTGACCTGGTTGAGAAACATGTAGACACAAATTTAGATGTTAAGATTCCATTTACTCACTACAAGTGAATACATGGTTTACTCACGGTAAGACAATAGCAAAAAGTCGAATATAAAACTTTATTTGGTAGCCACTCCAGTATGAGTGGTAACTATGCCCAACGAACAGCTGAAAATGTTAAGAAATGTTCAGGCTGGGCTTATTTCAAAGAAAAAAAAAAGTGCAGTGTCAGATCTGGCCTCAAGTTGCTTTTCGTGCTGCCCTGATAGGTCATGTAAGGACACTGGCACTGCAACCGAGACGTAATGCAGCCTCCTTATTTGCACTTGAAAAAAATGAACACGTTTATTCATTAACTTTAAAAAACTAACCAGATGACAATATTCTCCAAACTATCATCTACTGATATATCTACATCTAGTAATGATATATTTATTACATTTTAAGAACACCGAAAGTCGCTGAGGAATGACGTCACATCACATTGAATAATGACGCTGATCATTGTTTAAAAAAACGCTGTCAAAATTTCAGAATTAGGTCAGCGACCCAAAGAAGCACTAGAGAAGACCCTATGCTTGTAACCTTGGTTTTAATTAATGAAGCGTTACACGACGTTTGCCAGGACACAACCTGCTCGGAAGAGGGTGAGAGATGGCCGGTGTTCCCAGCATCTGTAGACGGGCGTCGTAGCCGCTCTACCGGTTCGTTTGTGCTGATACCTCCAGCCGTCGGCTTCGGGAAACCGACAGAGGAGCCCGGTGAACGTCCGCGCCGTCTCGGCCCGGCTTTGGTCGAATGGTTAGCCACTGGGTGGGCACTCTACAAGAGAGAGACAGACAGACGCCGAAAGCTTCTCTGGGGACTCCCAGGAAATTAGTCCTCGCTTCGACAGCCTGGCAGCAACACGGCGCTCGCTCACGCTCGTGTAGTTGTAGTAAGTTAGCCGGCAGACATGTAGAGCATTTCATGACGGCTAGCACTGGCTAGTTGGCCCTCATACACATGCTACATATCTCATTGCGAAAATAGACACTGTAAATAATCCCTTTTGTACCTTTTCAAAACAATGTGTTAACATCGTTCGCTCGCTTCCGATTGTCCGAGATGCACAATTTAAATACAAATAGTCTCCGCCAGGGTTATTGTTAACGTACTCCAGTTGGTCCGACGAGAAGTTAGCACAGACGTGCACACCTGTTTTACACTAAATGCACTACTGTAGCCATCACGTTAGTACACGTACACAACAGGCAGAGATCCTTTCCACTTGCAGAATATGATAGCCAGTAATGAGCTATACAAACGTGTACCTTTACAAAGGTAGCATCGCTCAGTTTTTTTTTTTTTTGCTATTTTGAGTCAACACTCGTTTATTGTTATAGTACAAGTTCTGTAGAACTGCCGCATCAAACACGAGTGCTGTTAGAAATAGCCGAACCCTTCGCGTCTTTCTAACTGATGATGAGAAAATCCAAATTCTCAGGCAATTGACACATAAAGCACCACGTAATTAGACATTTACTCTTACTAAACAGTATTCAGGTGAATTATACATCTAACGCTGTACTGGAGTTAAAGCACACAATAATTTGGGACACCACTAACGTTTATCTCATTGGGTCATGGTTACCATGAGTTCAGATGTGAACAATTCATCAAGTTAAGGAGCAATTACATATTGTTACATTATCGTCGTCACATTATGTATTTATTGTAGTTTGCAGTTGTGTAGATTTCACACATGAATCCTACCAAGCTGTTCTGCCATGCACTCATGTAACTATTTGAGGTACCCAAAATAGGATGTGGCTTTAATTCTTAAGTATTTGACAAGACTGTAACAAGCAACCAGATATTTGCTGTTTGAATTTCAAAAGCTTAGTTCTAAATCACTTATTCCTGCTCTCAGGGTTTGGGGAGCAGATGGACCAATTTTCATGAGGGTAGTAGGTGAGTTGAAGCTTGTATCTGTGTTTGAGAGGCAGGTTACACCCTGGACTAGTCACTTGCCAATCACCAACCGCATATAGACAACCATTCACTCAAATTCACATCTGTGGATAATTTAGATTCATCAGTTAACCTAATGTGCATTTTTTTAGGAATGTGGGAGGAAGCCACAGATTTGAGCCTGAACCTCTGAACTGTAGTAGACAAATTTGCCAACCACTAGGTTGTCATGCTGAAGTGTGTGTGTGTGTGTGTGTGTGTGTGTTAAATCTATAGATAGCTAGATCTATCTATCTCTTTCTTTCTTACATATATAGCAGCTGAATAAAATAAGTGGAACACTTGGAGTTACATTGTGTTGTTGAAGTGTTCCCTTGATTTTTTTTAGATTATCATTTATAGATCAATAATTTTATATATACTGCATATATTTTAATATATGCAGTATATATAAAATTGATACAACCTTCTAAAATTTGAGTCAGGTAAAATCCAAAACAATGTAAAACTCCACGGTAGTCACCTGGTTAGCATGTCAGCCTCACAGTGCAGAGGTGCAGGGTTCGATCCCTGCGTGGGTTTTCTCAGGGTACACCAGTTTCCTCCCGCATTCCAAAAACATGCATAGTAGGTAAATTGAACACTCAGAATCATAGGTGTCCAACTCCAGTCCTGGATGGCCGCTTGTCCTTCATGTTTTCCATCCCTCCCTGTTGCATCACTCCTGATTCAAATGAACAGGATCAATATCAAGGCTTCTGCAGAGCTTGTTGATGAGCTGATCATTTGAATCAGGTGTGTTGCAACAGGGATAGATGGAAAGAATGCACGATGGCGGCCCTCCAGGACCGGAGTTTGACGTCTATGCTCTAAATTGTTCCCAGGTGTGATTGTGAGTTTGAATGTTTGTCTATGTGTGCCCTGCAATTGGCTGGCAACCGGTTCAGTGTGTCCCCCTTCTACTGCCCGAAGACACATGGGATAGGCTCCAGCACACCCGCCACCCTTGTTAGAATTGGCGGATTAGAAAATGGATGGATGTATGTAAAACTATATTAAGAGTAAAATTAAATAATCCAAGTCGGACTAACAAACCTTTTCTGACACATTTCTTCCACCAGAAATTGAAGGCGTCTTGCTATGTGAGCACAGCAACATGAGACATGTGAGCCTCGACGATTCTGTCTCAGACTGTCTTTTTCCTGAGTAGAAGGTTGCCCATTTTGACAATGTCGAGCCGCCGAAAGTCGACCACGCCTTGCATGGTACTACCCTCTGACGAGTTGGAAGCGACAGCTGAAAGGACAACGGAAGTAGGGGCGGAGGGGACGGTAGATGAGGTTCAAACAGCAGTGGAGCTGGATCAAACTGTAGTGGTTGTCCCCACACCACCAGATACCGGTAAATGTGTTTTGGCCCATTTTGCCTTTTTTCGTCACCCCCAAAACCATCTTTAAACGTGACTTCATTGTTTTAACTCATGTTTTTCTGTCTTTGTAGGCGAGTCCAATAGCCTGGAGGACAAAGAGGTGCTCGGTCCATCAATAAACTGTAGCTCTGCTACCCCACCTGAGAGTCAGGGTTGTGACCAGCTGAACAAGGATCAGCATTGTGACGCACTCGAGGAAGTCGGAGTCGATGCCACAAGTGCTGGCGCCATCTCACTAAGCAAGACGCCAATCATGAGGATGAAGACCAAATCTGAACCCAAGAGAATCGCCGTGTCCCTTAAAACTTCAGATGAAGCCGTGGAGTACTTTGAAGGAGGCGGTGAGGGCGAGTTAGAAGCGGAGCAGCAGCCAATTGAAGCTCCTCTGGGACCAACAGCATCTGTAGAGATGCTCCTGCATGACTCCATGAAGCTTGGAGCAGGAAACCTATTGGTCAGCCAATCCTTGGAGCAGCCAAGGAAGTCATCAATATTAAATCCCACTGTTATTCCTCCTGGCCTGGCACAGGTAGAGTCTAAGAATGTTTTTTTAATAGATACTAAATGTTTTATACCCTGCAGTAAGAAAAACATCCAAACACAGAATTTTTAATAACATCGTCGTAACACTTAAATATTCTTGCATTGCCTAAAAAAAAACCACATTGATATTGCTTTTTTTGTGGCATTGAAACTCCCCCTCCTTATTCTGTTCAGGTACTTTCTGCTTTCCAGGCCCAGCAGAATACATCAGCTCAACCCCAATTGCTGATTCCTCTCAGCAGTATTCCCGCTTATAGTGCAGCTATGGACATCAACCCTTTGCTGGGTAGCACCTACAAGAAGTTTCCCTATCCCTCCATGGCTGAGATCAGCAGTCTGGCAGGGCAGACCCAGTTCACAGAAGAGCAAATTAAGGTAGTTAAAAGGTAGGGATGTCCCGATCCCATCACGTAATCAGAAATCGGGGCCAATCATGAGATTTTCAACAGATCCGGAATTGATGGAGGAAGGAAAAAAAAAAAGTGTGTATATATATATATATATATTTAATTTGTCTCAGTGTAGAGCTGCAGGCACGAAAACACACACACACACGCACACATTTCTCCTCCCCTGCGCTCAGCTCCCCTACAGGCAGCCGCAGAATGGTGGTTTTGATTTTATATATTGGAGGGAGAGGCAAGCTGAAAGATACTCCTAAATACATCTGCCTTACCTGATATGAGGAGGCCTCCTTGCTAAACGTCGAAGAGGGTGAGAGAGCGACAGACAGGTTTGTGACTGGTTTGACCCGTCCAAGCGACTTCACTTCAAATAGAAGTTTAATGAATGCAAATTAAGCAAGCTTTTTCCCCACAGGTTGCGTTTAATGACCGTATGAATCAATAGTGTCATTTCTGGATGGGAGATGTCACGCACGTATGCAACAACTGTGTAGTTGCCTGGGCTATTAATTTTAGCCTTTACAAGCCTATGCAGTTAATAATGATGTACACGTATTGTTTAGCTTTGAACAAATTAAATGCACTCCATCAGAGGATTCCATCATTCTATGATAAAGCCTACAGTGATTCTACTAAATTGGTGCCATTTGCCTCCCCAGAGAGTTACAAGAAAATACATTTTCATCAAGCATCCTCCACATTGATATGTATATATGTATTAAGTTTAAAGTTGACATTCAGTTAGCGTATCCATCATGGCTATATTTCCTGGATTTGATCATTCTAAACCACAAAGCGTTTCAGTACAAAAACAATGACATGAAAAAAAAACAAGTTGTAGATGGACCAATATACATTTTAAGTTGTTCAAAATGTGTATCATCAAATTTAGTGCTTAAAAAGAGAAAAGAAAGCATATAGAACTTTAAGTTTGTTTTGAGAGTGTTTCAAAAAAGTAATTGGTACTGATTTGGTCAATTGGTCCATATAATATAAATATATAATGATATACAGTATAACATACAAATTTATATATATATATATATATATATAATATACACACACACACACACACACACACACATACACACACACACGTCAGTACGTTTGTTGCAATATTAATTTGAGAAAAATCTGATGCTCGCTTTGTTTTCCTTAATGCTTTGCCTAAGTATTTGATCGAGACTCGGTATCGGCAGATATTTAAAACCAAAGACTCGGATTCTTTCTCGGGTGATTAAAAAAAGCGTGGTTGGGACATCCCTATTAAAAGGCAATTGGTGAATTCTTTCCTTAGAAAAATCATCCTTAAAAAGGTCAATGTTAATCCACAAAATGACTGGATGCCCTTCTATGTCCAGGTGTGGTTCTCAGCCCAGCGGCTGAAGCACGGTGTCAGCTGGACCCCAGAAGAAGTAGAGGAGGCCAGGAGGAAACAGTTTAATGGCACTGTGCACACGGTTCCTCAAACCATTACTGTCATACCTGCTCACCAGCTCTCTGCTGCCAATGGCCTACAGTCCATTCTGCAGACCTGCCAGATTGTGGGCCAGCCTGGCTTGGTGTTCACACAGGTATGTGGATGAAGAATATCTGTATGTGCAGTCGGCGATGACCTGACCTGCCCTCTGCGTTGCGTGACTGGGCTAATAAAGTCAACTCTAGAGAACAAATATGAATGAGCATTCTTAATATCAGGCTTACATAAGCAAATTGGTGTCGTGGTTGATAATATGTATAAAGGCAAACTATCTTTGACACTACATGACATCCTGCAAGATGTGTTGTAATTATGTGTTTATTCTTGGTGGGTGCATTCAGAACAGAGGTAACACAGTGAAATAGTGGTTCATATCTGCCTCACAGTCCTGAGGTTTGGGGCTCAAATTTCGGCTCTTGCCTTTTGGGCATAAATGTGGAAGGAAGCACCTTCCACATTTAAAAACATTTGTCTTAGGTGATCGACTCGCGAGCACAGCCGTCTCAAAGTGAAGAAGTGCAGGGTTCGATTCTGGCTCCGGCCCTCCTGTGTGGAGTCTGCATGTTCTCCCCCCGTGCCTGAGTGGGTTTTCTCCAGGTACTCCGGTGTCCTCCCACATTCCAAATATAAGCATGGCAGGTTGATGGAACACTCTAAATTGTCCCTAGCAGTGATTGTGAGCGCTTACGGTTGTTTGCCTGTGTGCCCTGCGATTGGCTGGCACCCAGTTCATGTTTTACCCTGCCTACTCTGCGAAGACACATGGGATAGGCTCCAGCACGCCCTGCGACCCTCGTCAGGATCAGCGACTCAAGATAATGGATGCATGTCTTATGTTCATTGAAGACTTGAAATTGTCCACAGGTGTGAATGGTTATTTTTCTTTATGTGCCCTTTATGTTCAGGGTTTACGTCTCACCCAAAGATAGCTGGAATAGACTTTGGCTGAGCTCACCACAAGCCTAAGAGGACAAGCAGTTTCGAAAATGGATCGATGGATGGTTTCGCACAGTATCAGGGCCATGAAAGTCTCTTTGTTTGAGGCCTCTGTATTTTTGTAGCTTTTTCGCAAATTATTGTTCATGGTTCATCTTGTTCAGTGTCCACAAAGTGTTTAAATATGAGGGACAATCCTATGTAATAGAGTAGCCACATACTATACTATTTCCTTTCTATGTCATCAAGCCATGGATCCAGTGTATCACTTAAGCACATTGCTTGATTAAAAAAAAAAAACATACATCAATAAGTGACAAATGGTTTACCTATTTCTTACCGATTCAGGTCTTATTGAATCTTCTGTAATGTTGTGACAATGTAGTAGTGATTGTGTTTGTGATAACCTGTCAAGTTGTTCATGATGGTGGGTGGAGACTCCAAAAGGCAGGGAGGCAGGAGGAATAGGATGGACTGAGCAAAATGTATGTAACAAAAATACAAACAGGAGTCCACTGCAAAAAAAAAACAAAAACAAAAAAACAAACAAACAAACAAACAAAACCTAACTGAAGTATACTAACAAAGTCCTGAAAACCACAGGAAACCAAAGTAACAAAAACCTATGACAGAAACAAAACATGTCAGGAGCACACAGACACACACAATGATCCAACAAAGACTGAACTAAATACAAACAAGGTGACGAGACCATGAGAAACACCTGGACAGGGCACGAAGGGTTGAGGGAGCTGACTGGTTAACACAAGGGACCCGGATGATGAGAACAGGTGAAGACAAAAAGGCCAAGAGGGAACAAAACCAAATGTAATCAAAACAAAAACATAACTTAACCCCTGTATCAAAAATACAATACATGTGTAGCATGTCTCCTTTGTTAATTCATTGGGCATTCTTGTTTGGAAGGCTAAAACAACATTGTGTTTGAAAAGATGGCAAATCAATTGCGTCAGAGCACAAGCAGATTACTCCAAAAGTGAAAAATTTAGGTAGTTTGGATTCATAATCCCTTTTATGACACCTGCGCTGGAAGTTTTCTGGTACATAAAAATGCAGTAGACATGTCTATCCTCGCAGATATCATTTTCTCCTATGTTTTCTACTCAATTGTGTTCCATATAAATTAGTGAGATATGTATAATGGTGAAGACATGGACATTTAGTAGTTCATTTTTGAATACTGATGACTTAACCCCCCCCCCCCCAAAAAAAAAACACACATTGCCTTCTAATGTGCCATGCCATGGATTATTACACAGAAACAACAGCATAAAAAGAGTAGCCGGCTGTCAGTTTTCATTGTGGGTAACGCGATAGAATCTTCTCATTAATTCTCATGAGGAAAAGTTCAAACTTTTGACTGTTCATCTCTGACAATGTCAATGAAAACTGAACATAGGTTTTTAAAAAAAAAAAAATATATATATAAACATATTTTTTTTTAATAATTATGTTTAAAAAATCTAGACTAAAAAAAACAACACTTTTTTTAGTCTAGATTTTTTTTTAACGCTTGTCTGGGAGTAGTAGCAGTAAAGGAGTATTTGGTCTCCAATTCTATGTTTCCTAGGTTGCACCGGGAGGGAATCTTCCAGTGACCAATCCTATCACCCTGACAGTGGCAGGACTACCAAGCCAATCCCAGAGCTCCAGCAGAGTTTCTTGCCAGTCGACCCCAACAAATAGTGAGCTTAAACGGGCTACCACTGTACAGCCCCCCTCACTTTCCCCACAGGTATAGCTGTCTTTCTGACTCTTACCTTAAAGTCAGTGATACTGTGCCCTCAGCGCAATTGTTGATATATTCATGCACTTTGCAATATCAAACCATAAAACTGTTTAACATGTAACTGCACCTTTCTCTTTGGAAGGAGAACTCTGCCCTGAGTGCGGACACGTTCAGTCTGCGGCCAAAGAAGTCCAAAGAGCAGCTGGCAGAGTTGAAAGCCAGCTATCTTAAAAACCACTTTGTCAGTGATGCAGAAATTGCCCGTTTGATGAAGATCACCAATCTAACCAAGGGAGAGATTAAAAAATGGTTTAGTGACACGAGATACAACCAGCGCAACTCCAAGAACAGCAATGTCATTGTTTTCCATGACGGAGGCGGCAGAGGAGGCGGTGGCTGTAGCAGCGGCGGGAACACCACCATTGTCATTGACTCAAGCGATGAAACCCCGGCATCCCCTCATCCTCCATACACGCTCCCTGTGAAGGAGAAGGAGACACGGCCCAAGACATGGAATCCGTTCCCAGACTTCACTCTGCAGAAATTTAAGGAGAAGACACCTGAGCAGTTGGTGGTGTTGGAGGAGAGCTTTGAGAAGGGGAGCACGCCGTCTGATGAAGAGCTGAGTCGTCTGAGAACAGAGACTAAATTGACACGGAGGGAGATTGATGCCTGGTTCACAGAAAGACGGAAAATGCCGACAATTTGCACCCCCTCCCCAGAGTCTTCTGAGGCAGGACGTATAGATGCCGGTGGAGGGAAAGCTGGAGAAATCACTGCTGCTTCTCGTGCCACTTCCTCCTCTCGTCCTGGAGGACGGATTAAGCAGATGCCAACCAGCAGCTGCAACAACAACAACAACAGCAGCAGCAGCAGAGACATCAAAGATAAGACCAAAAAGACTCCAGAGCAACTCCACATTTTGAAAAGTGCCTTTGTGCGGACTCAGTGGCCCACAACTGAAGAATATGACCAGCTAGTCGAGGAGAGTGGCCTCCCCCGACCCTACATTGTCAGCTGGTTCGGAGACTCACGGTACTCCTGGAAGAACGGTAACCTGAAATGGTTCTTTCAGTATCAAAGTGGCAACGTGGAAGGCCCGAATGGTGGTGGAAGTCACAAAATGGGAGGTGGTGGCAGTCGAAAAAGACGTGTCCGAAATCGCGGTTGGGGCAGATCCCGAACTCGAAAGCATTCAAGGCGGTTAGCATCCTTTGGTTCAGACTCGGAGAGATGCCCCCCACCAAAGAAATTCAAGAGTGGTAGGGACATCTTGAAGGAGTATTACCTGAAGCACCGCTTCCTCAATGAGCAAGACCTGGATGAGCTTGTCACCAAGACCAACATGAGCTATGAACGGGTAACGCAAATGCTTTTTACTTGCATGTAGTTGTTAAGGCCTCTCCTGAAAAGCCCATTGGCCTATTGCAGGTGTCGGCAACCCAACACGTTGAAAGAGCCATATCGGACCACAAAAACAAAAAAACTAATATGTCTGGAGCCACAAAAAATTAAAAGCCTTATATAAACCTTATAATGAAGGCAACATATGCTGTCTGTATTAGCCAACCATCAAAATGACTACGTTGGCTATAAATATACAATGAGCCCTCATGATTCCAATTTTTTTTCCCTGCGGTTTATCTGGAGAGCAGGGGTGCCCAACCTTTTTTGACCGAAGATCCTTGTCGATCAACCAACCTCCCGCAATCGACCCGTTACCGCACACGCGCGCATACGCACGCACTTACACATGCATGCAACAATGAGCAACAGCCATAACGGCCGCTAAGATGAACGAGGCATGGGACGCACTTTTGCAGCGTGTTAACTATCGTAGCTCACGTTTACTATTCAAAAATGCGCCCCATTCTTTACCAGTACCCTCAGTGAATTGTACCTGAAACACAGTTTTTTTTTTTTTTAACAACTGGCACCTGACTGACATCCCGCCCTCCTAATAGAAACATGTGTCGCAGGCTATGACGTTAATCCTCGTTGACAGAAATGTTGAAATGTAATTTTTTATTCGACACATTTTTGCAGCATTGGAAAACGTTAAGAATGTCCGTGTCATGTTTGGCCTCTGACAGAAACGATATTCAAACAAAAAATATATTTCCCTCCCCCATCTTTTTCAATTTTCAAACATTTTTGAAAAAGCTCCAGGGAGCCACTAGGGTGGCGCTAAAGAGCCACATGAGGCTCCTGAGCCGCGGGTTGCCGACCCCTGGCCTATTAGAACAAATAAGTATTTGAACACTAAATTGTCCGTCGTGACTGTGGGTATGAATGGTTGTTAGTGTGCCCTGCGATGGGGTGAGGCAGGAGACATTGAATCCAAGTGGACTGAAGAGGTCTTTTCAGGCCTTTTTGGTCTGCCGCACTCCGGAGTCAGCTGAACAGCCGGCCAAGCGGAATGCAGCTTCAGCAACCACCGAGGCAAAAACATGGGCATAGGAAGAGTTCCAAGCTGTCTGAAGTCGTTTTCCATGGCCTCACCAAAGAAATTCTGGTCCTCAATTTGGCGTCTCAAGAAGCGGAAGCAGTGCACCATTAACAAATTGTGTAATGGAGATGGGTTGCTGCTGACCTCTGCTCAGGATGTTTTTGAGTAGGTGGAGAGAACACTTTGAAGATCTCAATCCCACTGACACGCCTTCCTTTGAAGAAGCACAGTCGGGACACTTTTGAGGTGGGGTCTTCTATCTTTGGGACATCATTGCGGTTGTTTGAAAGCTTCTCATGCCCAACCCTGTCCAGGTTGGGGATGAGATCAGATCCTGCCCCAAGTGGAGGAGTTCACGTAGCTTAGGGTTTTGTTCATGAGTGAATGCAGAATGGAGATTGACAGGTAGATCAGTGCAGCTTCTGCTGTGATGCAGACTATTGTATTGTTATTGTACTGGTCTGTTGTGATGAAGGAGCTGAGATGAAAGGCGAAGCTCTTGATTTACCGGTCGATCTACGTTCCTGCCCTCACCTATGGTCACGAGCTGTGGGTCGTGACTGAAAGAACAAGATTCTGGACACAAGTGGCTGAAATTAGTTTGCTCCTCAGGGTGTCGAGATAGGGCTTGGTCATCCAGGTGGGGCTCAGAGTAAAGCCACTGCTCCTCCATTTGAGATGAGCCACATGAGGTGGCTTGGGCATCTGATTAGGATGCCTGCTGGACATCTCCCTGGTGAGGTGTTCCAGGCACGTCCCACTGGGAGGAGGCCCCGGGGATGTACCTGGACACGCTGGAGAGACTTTGTCTCCCGGGTGGCCTGAGTACATCTTGGGATTCACCTGGAAGAGCTGGGCGAAGTGGCTGAGGAGATTGAAGTCTGGGCTTCCCTGCTAAAGCCGGTGTCCCCGCGACCAGCCCCCGAGTAAGCTGAAGGAAATGGCTGGATGGATGGATGAATCCATGTTAGGATCGATCGATGGACCTCATTAAATACAATCTTAGGGATGATGGTTAAAATTGGGATTTGACTTGGGACAGGCTGTCTAAATATGATCTGACATGGATAGATACTAGATAACTGCCAATGCAACTACAATATATAATCTGAAGTTCCATGTCATTGCACGCTTAATGTCATGAACTGCACTGATTGATGAAACAGAGAAGAATAAGTTTGGGCCCCGTAAAAAGCTAAATATTGTTAAATATATTTGCTTACTTACCTGTAGGCATGCAGGTCGTCTCTTGTGTTCACTAAATGTAAAAACGGTAAAGGTGGCTACATGTTGGCCTAAGATAGGCCACGTGACTTTCGAGGTAGTGTGGCAGTTCAGATGACAACATCCATGTAAGTATTCCTCTCTCTCTTTCGTTCCATTAAGGTGCGAGAATGGTTTGCTGAGGTCCAGAGACGCCTGGACGTGGGTGCAGACCCCTTCCAGGAGCCGGCTTTGGGCATGGCGGACGGAGGAGAGGAAGCCAATGAAATAAGGGGGTCGACATCACACGCCAGCAAGACGACGAGAGGCGACGGAATGGGAGACGAAGAGGAGAATGAGGACGATGAAGAGCATGATGAAGAGGATACAGATGACAGTGAGGTTTGGGAGCCGTCACGCAGCGTGAGGAAATCCTTGTCTGTATCTGAAGACTAAATCTGTGCACAAAGCTCAATGGAAACATTGAGTATGTTCCAAGTATTTGCAAATGTGTCGACATGACTATTATTATTCTTATTATTATTAGCTGTCTCCCCCTTTCTCAACCCTCATCTGAATGACGTTATTAAAATAACCAGAGCAGCATTTTTGTCACACCCCAAAATATCTTAAAAGAATACATTCATTATGAAACCCCCCCCCCCCCCGCACCCCCCACAAAAACTATCATCAAATGGAATTGATAAAAACTGAGATATGCATATGCCATACGTGAAAAGTGGCGAGGGCATCTTGAGGAGGGATTGATATTTTACATTGACTGTTAAGTCCCTCTCGAAATGCATTGCTGCATTCTCCCTTGCACAGCCCAAATTTGAACTTCAATTTGAATCGAATGTTCACTCCCCTTCCCTACAAAGTAAAATGTGACTTCCCTAATGTGTTTACAAGATAGCCCCTAATCAGAACACCTTGGGCACACACGGTGGACCTGTTCTTTTACATTGTCTGTATTTCAGCTTTTAAAGCGATAGTCGAGAATGAATGACTTGACGTTGATTGATCATGAAAGTCCGTGGCGGATAAAGGCCTCAAGCAACATGAGCCAAAGTACATGAGCAGTGAGTGAATGCCAGCGTATTTGTTGAAGGATGTTTTTTCAAGTCTTCCTTTGATGGTGGTTACTAGTTGAATTTTTAACAAGGAAAATGATTAATGGTGAAAGAACTGTATGTTTAATATGCACTTCGATTAATGTTTTTTTTTTTTTGTTTTGCACCTTTTGACACAACAAGCACTGTGCTGTTGTGAGCTATTATATATTCGTTCTGAAACTTTGCCAAATTGGAATGGGTTGTTTTTCAACCTCCAAAACCAACCAACCAACCAGCCAGTGTTTAACCGCAGTTGGTGGTGGAAATAAAATGCACCCACTGCGCCTGAATCATTAGTCAAACCTAATTCACGTAAACCAGGGGTGCCCATTACAACGATCCTGATCGACCGGTAGATCTAGGACTGGTCCCAAGTAGATCCGAGGGGTGTAGAGGAGAAAAAAACAACCATTTGTGTGTCTTTGTACATGTTTGTAATATATTTTTTGTGTTAATGTACACTGCACCCGAATCACCCGATCAGTCTCATTTTCACAAAAAGTATTTAAAAAATAAAATAAAATAAAGTAGGTAAATCTTTAACCTACGGCGGCGCGTGACTACGTCACCGGAAGTTGTTAGCGCTCAGCAGTCTGCAATTGCAGCTTGTGATCAGAGCGGATGCGCTATATCTTATCGTCGTTATTCTCATTCAGAGTTTGCTTCGTGTACAATTCACCGAGGGCACGGGCAAAGAATAGGAATCTAGAGGGCCCAGGGAAGCACTTTAAAACGGTACGTGTGAGCTACGATAGTTAACAGGCTGCAAAAGTGCATCGCATGACTACGTGTCAGGCTGTTTCTCATCATGGCGTGTGTGCGTGTATGCGTGTGTGCGCGTGAGTGTGTGTGTGCGCGTGCGCGGTAAAGGGCGATCCCTGGAAGTTGGTTGATCGAAAAGTCGATCTTCGGTCCAAAAAGTTTGGGCACCCCTGAAACAGTCGTGACTTAAACGAACTACTGGCCTGATGTATTGTTCTCGAAACAGCATTTCAGACATTTTAAATTGTGAAAGCACCTGAACTAAACTTGTTTCAAATGCACTTTTTCTGACACATGGTGGATGAAATTAGAATTTGGCACCTTATTGTATCATGCAAAGACTCTGAGAGTCCATATTTGTTTTATGACTAAAACAGTATTTTGCCTTTTTTTTTTATTCCTAACTAGTTGTATTGTTCATTTTCCCTGAGGCGGAATCTTACCCGTTTATCCACTTTTCTAATAATATGTAAATGGTGTTGGATGTTGATATGGCTCCGTAGAATCAGCTGCCACTTTCTTTTGCTTTATTGCACACTTTGAGCCACATTTTGAATACCTTTGGGGGAAAACAATGCTTGGGATACCATTGTGTATTGTTTCAAATCACGTGTCACTTCACTTTTTCATGGATTTTTGGAGGACATGTTAGCAGCGTCTTTAGGGTTGTCTTCTCACAGCAAACGAACAGATACCAGATGACACTATACATGTTCAATAATGTGTGTTCGTAGCCCCTTGCTTCACAGAAAGAAGTGTTGAAATGAACGACTACCAGCTGCCATTGCCACAGCCACAGCAAGGACAATCCCCCCCGTACCATGTTGACTGTTGTTAACTTATACAGACATACCATACCTACATGTGCCTACTGTGGACTTGTTGCAAGAGGATCTCCCCATGTCGTCACAAAGCACTTAACGGTAGCCTTTCTCAAAACAAATGGGGATGCATGAGCAAGATGTGCTTTCAGCCGAGACGCCAAATGCCTGTCTGAGGTTAAACATTGTACACTTCTGTCCGTGACCTTGGTTAAACTTTGGGCTTTTGATTTACTTTCTGGTATTTTGCCACCTTGTACTTGTAATCCATGTTACATGCTAGCACCTTTTAGCTATCTCAAAAGCATTTTCAGCCTGCCGGGTATGAAACTCACGAAGCTAGCTCGCTGATTGCAACTGAATGAGCAGAAATCTTTGACACATTATTTGTCGTAATGTGAATAGTAAGTGCCTGGGCATGAAAAAGAACAAGATGCTGTACCTTATCTCCATGTATACTGAGCGTTTATACCGTTTTCTCAATTACTGCATGCAATAAGTATGTTGGAACAACTGCTCATTTTGTACATACGTGTGTGGGTTTGTTTAGGTTGGTATTGTTGGCACAGTGGTTTGCTAATCTCAAGCTCAGCAAGTGGTATGATTTCAAAGTCTAACTGTATTTCCCAAATCATTAACAGTATAAACAGTCGTGTCTGTCCGCGAAGAAACCTTTCATTAGGGACCCTGAGTCCTTTTCTCACCACATTGTCATTACAAGCATTTGTTTTGGGGTGTGTGTGGGGGGGCGGGGGAGGGGGGGTCTTTCTGTTGCGCATTCTGCTGCTTATTTTAGTCCACAGACGAGGTCTAAGCCTTCCCCAAAGTATTTTACTGGCCTGCTTGGACATCTTTTCTATGTTTTTATCAATGACAAGTGTCTTTACAACCAAATAGGTTTGTTTACTACGCACACGAAACCGTGTTCGAAAGTCAAAGTGAAGTCGAATTCATTTTGAGCTCGGAGGGTTTCGCTGGAGTTTCTTTTGGGTACTTTGGTTGCAAGGAATATAAAATCACAACTCACTTGAAAAGATGAGCACTTTATTGAAGGTAATACTGAAAACAATAGGAGTGAGACAATGTCATTTACATCTGCTCTTCTGTTACAATAAGGCCCGAGTAAATGATATGCACAAAGAACCGTGTTTGCAACATGTATCTCTTTTTGGACCTGCTCTGTGGGTATGATGATAAAGTGCTGTCTCTTGTCAGTGGGTTTTGATTTCATATCATGTATCATATATCCGACTTGCAGTAGAGCTAGTATTGTGAGTAGTTTAGCTGCTGTCGTATTATGAAAATCCATCACTGCACTCTCTCATCCTCTTTGTTTATACCTGTGCTCTTTGAATGTTTTGCAAATAATTTCACCACAGCTTTTTCAATGAAATACAATTTGTCACAATAATCAGTTTTGTTCTCTTCCAAGCTCATTTCATTTTGAAAATTCGAACACTTCCGTGTTCCGGTTCAGTCACGTAATCTGATATGTTTCACTTTGCAGTGATGGATCAACTCGTAATAGATGTAGATGTTTCATTAGAAAGTGGGGTTGGCAAAGGGAAGTAGAGTCACTCCAAAACTCCCAATAAATATTTGCTTCATCATTTGTATTGACATTGCTGGCTTTCAGCGATGACTTCCTGAGTATTGACTCAACAGTCAGTTATTTAAAAGAAGAAAAAAAAAAGCTCTTGAAAATAAGCTGAATGTGAATTTGACTTTTTGCACCATGAAAAGGAAATTGTCGATCTTGTACATGATTTAAGAAACAAGGTGAGGAAACTTGGAGTGCAGGGATATTTGTACCTGTTATTAAATCACTGGCGCTGTAGTTTAAATGGGTACGTACAAATTCAAAATCTGCCCAGGCTTTTCTATGTGGAGTTCGTTCTCTCCATGACAAAAACAGCATGTTAGGTTAGATTCATTGAAGACTCTGTTGATGTTAATTTGAGTGTGAATGGTATGTGTCCTTTTTTGTATCCATTTGGCTGGGTGTACCCCATGGGTCCCCAACCGCCGGGCCGCAGACCGCGGGTCATTTGGTGCCGAGCCGCGCAGAATGAATAAATAGCTTACATTTTTTCCGTTTCATTTATTTCGGAATTTGAAAGATGTTTTATTTTGAAAAATTACCGGATTCTCTGGTTTATCAGTCTACGGTATGTCACTCTTGACGCAGGTGAATGCGCGCTTCTCGGTCATGTGATAGGTTACCGCATACAAACCTAGTGCTGTCAAGCGATTAAAAAAAAAAAATTGTGTGATTAATTAAGTAGGGTCTGTAATTAATTAATCTAATTAATCTATATTTTAATCTCATCTAAAAATTACTGAGAAAACCCCTATTTTCATTTTAAATTCCTTACATTATTGAGGCAGACTTGGACAGATGCAGTCCTAGCTATTTACTTTCTGCTGTATTTGAGATTAGTCAAAGTCCTACCTGCAAACTTTAGTTTTGACCACAAGGGGGAATATCGCTGTTTTGTTTGTTTTTGGAAATCTCCAAAGAATTACAAAATAAAAATAAAATAGAGCATCAGGTCCTTAAAAAGTGCTGAGGTTAACATATCAAAATCAGTAAGAACAATTTTCTGAGCAATACAAGTACCGTAAATTCCGGATTGCAAGCCGCTACTTTTTTTCCACACTTTCAACACTGCGGCGTGTAATATGAAGCGGCTTTTTAATTTTTTTTTTCCATCGTGGAAAAACATGGACCAATAAAATGAATGAGTCTTTCACTGAGGTCCAATGAGATTGTATGACTAATCACAACTTCCGCACTTTTTGCCCAGTGGGGGGGGGGGGGGTTACCCGGCAACAGTCGACCAATAAAATGAATGAGTAATACACAGGGGTCCAATGAAATTGTATGATTACCGGTAATCACAACTTCCTTATTTCAGTCTTTCTTCTAACCCTGATCAACATGGAGAATACCAGACTAAAAGCATATGATACAGC